AGGATCCATGTGTACAGTAGAATTGCCACTCGATCGTGTTTATATAATTCGATTCGCTAATACGAACTATTCCTTTCTCTTTATTTAAAAAAAAAAATAATAAATTCAAACCAACCTAAAATTGCTACCCCTTGCCGAAAACATCGACAAGGGATAGAGGGGCTAATGATATAGGTTGGTAGAAGGAGACACCCCCAAGGACGAGCAAGGCAGATCACAGCACACCGATGCAAGGTCATCGACCCTCATAGGGCGTTCTACCACTACACCCAGGAAGCGCTCTACCACTACATCTAGGGAGCACTCTACCACGACCCCAAAGGGCGTTCTACCATTACACCCAGGGAGCGTTCTACCGCTACACCTAGGAAGCGCTCTACCACTACGTCTAGGGAGCGCTCTACTACAACCCCCAAAGGGCGCTCTACCGCTACCCCAAGAAATCATTCTACCACTAAGCGAAATCTTCAACGGGAATGATATCCCTTGTCCAAACACTTAGCCATAAAACCTTTAACGAATCGACAATGTTACATGGCCGCTGATACAGGTACAATCTTCAGACGGGAAGTTAAGGACTCATCACTCAGAACGTGGGTGTAGTGGGAATATCATCGTGGGACACGTGGCACCACAACCGCCCAGCGGTTACCTGGTGCCTAATATCTATAAATACCTCCGGATGAGACACAGGTAAGGGATGATTTTTTTGAGCTCCCATTCTCGTTTTTAGCCATCTGATTTTCAAATATATTTTTTCTAAGTCTGAAAACTAATTCTCACGCCGGAGGTAAAACGGGGGAGAAAGCCCCGCCTTCATTTTTTAGGTCTTGCATACTTGACGGAGTGGTGGAAACGCTAAACATTACCTGGTAAATAGAAGGGTGTTGAATCACCGCCTTTCAGAAACCAATCTTGAACTTTTTTTTATTGAGGCCTATCATCTCATCTCGGATCGAATTCCCTAATGACCACCCAACCTTATAATTAGTGTCTCCATGACTATCCAGTTTGATTTAACTATGTCTTAGTATCGGCATAGCTCCTCAATTTGATTTTATCTCATCATAATCACTCAATTTCAAATAATGTTTCACCATGGTCACTAATTTTAAAATTGCATTATATATATAGAATACCTTTTGGATAATGGACTTTTAAATTCAAAATCCATTTTTTTAGTTGGGCCACTTTCTTTTGGAGTTGGGTTCTTTCTAATGAAAGGTTCTGGTTGACTTCATTAATAACTTTGTAATTTCTTTGCATACATTCACAATGTTTATATATATATATATATATATATAAGTTTAAAAAGGCAAAAATTTAAAATTTTAGGTGACCATGTTAATGCTAAGTATAAAATCAAATTGGGTGACTATGATGACAGTAAGTATAAAAATCATATGGCCATGATAAAATAAAATAAAATTTGATAACCATGGCAAAGTTAATTATATAATTGGGTGGTCACTAATAAATTTATTGAAAAAAGTTCGACCATTGTTATTTTTACAATAGCTACGGATTCTTGGGGGTCAAAATCAATCCAGATTTTTTTTTATTAGCTCCGTAATGACACCTTACGCTAGACAAACGAAATTAAAGTCACTTTCACTTTGACCACGACAGCTAATCTGGAATCTCCTCGAAAACTTTAATAGTCAAACAACTTTTGAGAAATTTAATATTGTAAACAACTTTTACAAGTGTTCTATCAGCCGCATTTGTCTATTTAAAAATAATAATAATTAAATTTTAAACAAATTTCGATGAAATCTATAATTTATCTATAACATATTAAAATATTACATTAAAATAAAATCATATTTGGACGATTTTAACCCCCTTACAATTCAATTATTTCAGTAATACCTTACTTTTCATTTTTCGATATATAATAAATACTACATAATTATTGTCGTTTATGAAATTTGTATTATTAATTCTCAATTAATTAATATTTACATTAACTTAGATTCAATGAATTTTCACTTGGTGAATCTTGAACAATATGAATCTAGAGTTTTTATAGATGAATTTATTCATATTCATATATCTAAAAATTTTAATGAGTGTTTAAATTTATGTATTAACAAATAATTTTTATGTATCAAATGTAATATAAAAAGATTGTTCATTTATAATATCTCATCATTACAAAAAAAAAAAAATTGAATAATACAAATTGAGTTTTGAGAGTACAATAGTATCACATTAGAGGAGAATAATTTTTTGAACGTTTTAACCACCTACAATTCAATTATTTCAACAATACCTTACTTTTCATTTTTTCAATATGTAATAAATATTACGTAATTATTATCGTTTAAGAAATTTGTGTTATTAATTATCAATTAATTAACATTTCATTAGTATAGATTCAATGAATTTTCACTTGATGAATTTTGAATTATATGAATCTAGAGTTTTTATAGACGAACTTATTTGTATTCATTTATCTAGAAATTTTAATATGTGTTTAAATTTATGTATTAACAAATAATTTTTATGTATCAAATGTAATATAAAAAGATGGTTCATTTATAGTATATCATCATTATAAAAATTTGAATCATTGAAATTGGGTTTTTAGAGTATTTTCTTGTCTTAAATTTTAATGCTAAATTTTATTTTCTTTAATTCGTCCGAAACTCATCAAATCCTCTAACAAATTGATACCAAATATTACTTTTACATTACTTATAAATTATTTTAGAATAACTTTTAACCCCCTACAAATCAATTATTTCAATCGTACCTTACTTTTCGTTTTTCAATTCGTAATAAATACTACATAAATATTGTCATTTATGAAATTTGTGTTATTAATTCTTAATTAATTACTTTTACATTAACTTAGATTCAATGAATTTTCATTTGATAAATCTGGAATTATCATATTCATGTATTTAGAAATTTTAATGAGTGTTTAAATTATGTATTAACAATTAATTCTTGTATATCAAATGTAGTATAAAAAGATTATTCATTTATAGTATTTTATGAAGTGAAAATTCATTGAATCTAGATTAATGTGAATGTAATTATTTGAGAATTAACAACACAAATTTCGTAAATGACAATAATTATGTACTATTTTATTACCTATCGAAAAATGAAAAGTAATGAACTATTGAAATAATTGAATTGTAGGGAGTTAAAAGCGTCCAAAAAATATTCTCCTTTGATGTGATATTATTATTATTTCTTCCTTACAAAAAATTGAATCATAGAAATTGAGTTTTGATAGTATAATTTGAGTACAATTTTTTTCTCTTAAATCTTTATGCAAATTCTTTTTTTATTCGTCCGAAATTCATCAAATCCTCCAACAAATTGATACAAAATATTATTTTTACATCACTTATAAAATATTTTAGAATAACGTATAATGCACGTTCAACTTTGACTAGTTTAATAAATATGTGATTAAGAAGTTAATAAAAATTATGGGTCTTATAAAATGTTTTATTAAAATTAATTATTAATTTTGACTTAAATTTTTATCATTTATTTTAATTAAACCAAATAAAAACTTAATGTAGCATGAAAATTATCGGTATAACGTTAGTTGTTGAACGCCAGATGTGAGAGGAAACAAAGGTATAATATGTGTTTTAT